CAAGAAAGCCACTTATTTGCAAATCCCTGTTAAGGTAATCATATTTTTAGGTTTTTGTTAATATATATTTCTAGCATCCTCTACTTGCCACTGTTGGAACATGGGACTAAGATAGAGGGATCTCTGGTCTGACTCAGTATGGCCTGTGCTTTTAATACTTTCTCTCTCACCTCAAACCTCCCCTGGCATCCATCTCACCTTTTCCAACATTTCTCAATTACTTATTCATTCTGCCTCACTCTTCTGCCAGCCAATGATGGATTGCCAGTTATTTTATGGGTCTCCTGGAAAAAACTGCTCCCACTTCATCTCTGGTAAAGCTGCATGGCCACGTAAACAAAAAGGTGGTAGAAAGGACCAGGACTCGTAACCTATTCATTTACAACCAGGAACATTTTCTAACACACATAGCCAAGGGCAGAAGTCAGAGCAATGTTGACAGATCAACTTTTAGCTCACTGAAAATGTTAATGCCCAGTTATGCATACAGAGATATATATGGGTCATTAAGTATACATATGTAGAAATACATACATATTTATATACATACATGTGGCTGTATCTACACAAATATATGTCTACCAGTACAAACTTAATGATCCCCGTCTATAAATGAGTTTCTGCACACATACACACATAATGAGTTTACTAAAGTGATGCAGGGCTGTGAAGCAAAAAGGTTATTTCTCTCAATGTAGGTTTGGAGATATGCCTAGCACAGGAGATGAAGTGGCAGGGGTAATAATTATGAGTCAGAGCTGGAACAACATAAAGCCCTTCTCTGGACCCACAAAAATATCTTGTCTCTGATTTAAATGGTACAAACTAGCAACTCTCCCAAGCAAATGCTGCTTCTGTTTGGATATATCATAATCAGCTAGAAAGGGAATACAGTGTGATTCCTTTCCCCTGGTGAGCATCAGGCAAGTCACATGCTGTGCCTGTGGCTTGTCAACACAGAAATGCTAGATCTGACCCACCAGAACATGACATCATTAAAAGATATACTGCTCGCCAGTGAGGGCTACAGGACAGAACTTAAAAAAATGTAGATTTCAAGGAGCTGAAATGACCATCTTGTCAGACAAGATAAGTGCCAAAACAACAGCAAAAGGAACTTCAGAAGTGGATGATCAGCTAGGAATGGAGGAAAGAGACTGGATTCACCTTGGTTAGGCAGTAGTTCCAGGGCAGACCCGCTCACACAATCTCATGGTACTTTCCAGTGTATCACATTCTTAACAGAGTTCACTCAGCTTGCAAGGAAATAATTAATTTGTGCACTGTTATAGCCATACCAAGTAACAAAATCATAGAATAATTTAGGTTGGAACAGACCTCTTTAAGATATCTTGTCCCACTTCCCACTAAAAGCGGCTCCCAATTCAAAGTATGCTGAGATATTCAAAATCATGTAAAGCCCCTACATGCAAATTTACAGATTTTACCTTACTGGAAAATTCTTTAGGACTGTCTTAGGGATGCATACATAGCCCAAAGCACAGAAGATCCAAAAAACCTAGGATATTCATACAATAGAGACAGATACTGCAAATGCTCACATAACAGCCATGAAGTGGTATGAAATTCTGTGTTAAAATGATTGCTGCTTCCTACAGCCCAGAAAGCCCTTCACAGTGTGCGGCAATGAAGGTTGGGAAAGTCATTCTACTGATATATTGATTTTAATAAGATAGTATTATGATAATATTGTTAATAATGCAATATGTTAGTAATAGTTGGAGTATAATGACTATTTAATACACATTCCCCTCAGAGTATTATTTTTTGGAAGTAGTTGAACACAGACAATTTTGATGCAAATCTATGGAAAAAATTTTCCCTAACAGGAATCAGCCAAGACTCCTAAGCGAAATATTTTGCATTTTTGAGGATGAAAGACAAATCTTTAAAATCCACTCTTTAAAAGCCACTAACCTACCCAGTCTAGCAGTACACAAATATACCCACAGTCTTGGTCTCTCTGCCTCAGCCGTGCTACTAGTCTAAGCACTCCCACTGACCCCATGATCAGCTAGGGGATGCTAATCCCAAACCATTGTGCTCCTCTCATCTTGAAACTTCTTGAAATCTTTGGGATTTCTATGCACAAAGACAAATTTCATGTCCCTCCAACCCACCATGTGTTATCTTGGATGGCCAGTAGCAACAGAAAGGCATTGATTTCTTCTCAGCCAAAGTTTCCACAAGCTCAGCATGATCCTACACTGCCCTTATAGATGCATTCACTAGAGTTCTCTTTGTGAGAAATACCTAAGTGATTTGCATACAAATGGTTTGCATACAGGCTTTACAAATGGGCCCTTTCCTCCTCAGTTCCTTTAATGCTGTGGATAGGAATTTCTCTAAATATTTATTGCAAGTGTCATGAAATTTCTTTGTATAGCTTTTACAGACTATTAAGAATAGTTTTAAAAACTGCTAATGATGACAGTAATAATAAAAACAATAACAATAACAATAGCACTGGCAATAATAATAATATGCCTGCAAAGATTTAAAAAAGTCAGTTCTCAACAAAGGTAATACACAGTATTGAGGAAGATAACTCACTTACTGCATTTTTCACCAGAAGACTACAGAGATATGAAAAAACAATAAACTTAGATTTTTAATGCATCTTTCATCTCAAAAGAAAACTGCATTGATTTATAAAGTAAATGGGCTAAATCTGCAGCTAGTTGCAACTGAATAGCCCCGCTGATTTGAATGAAGGTGCTGATGTGCATACACATGTGTGCATGTGTCTGTATGTTTGTGTGGTTAGCAAGTGACACACACTGCTCACCGCATAAAGGATTTCACAGAGAAGCATTACATTACCAACACAGAAAATGACACTATCATTGCATAGAGTGCTCAGAATTGCAGGTTCTAATCTTTAGCTGGGAGCTGGCATATATTTCCCCAACAGGATGCTCACAGCAGTCTTGTGAAAAGGTTCACAGGTATATCATATGCTGTTGTGTTTTGCTCTTGCAAATATAGGGGCAATGTTTGCAGATAGCAAGGCAGCAGATGCACAGATATATTCTTTCACACAAACAAGTACTCTGATTTTATGAAGAAAAAGTCAAAGCCGAGACATCGTTTTGGAATAAAGGAAAAGCTGTCAATGCTACTGGAATTGATACCACCTATACTCCGATAAAATCTCAATAGGTGTCTGTGACAGACACAGAAGCTGCCTTCTTCTGCCTCAGCACTGTTTGGGAATAAAGCATAGGAGTGCTCCTGCTTTGCTTTATATAAAGGCATAAAGGATAACCATAATTATTTAGCCTGGCCTTCCAAAGACACTTTATCACAGGAGATCCAGGAGTTGGCTATGCCTTCCTGAGCCCTTCAAGACTACAGCACCAAAACATTTCTTCTGTCATGGCATAGATGGCAAAGAAGTCAGTTCAAACAACTCTTTGTTAGAAGAGTAAAAGAGGATTTTCCCCAAGCCCATTTCTCGTAGTTAAGATGAGCTTAACTTGAAATACAGACTTCTCAACACAGTCACTTCTGTTTGTGTAAAGCTGATGTAGATATGGTTTTTGAAAGGCATAACAACACAAATCATGCAACAGAGTTGGAATAAATTCAAATCAGTAGCAGAAATGTCCAAGACACACAACAATTACCCTGTCCAAACTTCCTCAGAAACTGAAGACAAGCACACCCAGCAGTCTACTCTCAGTTTATCACTACCTGTGACACCAGCAGTGAGATCCACCCACACATTTCTGCCATATAAGCAGGCAAATGGACTGAAGCCTAGAAGAAAATAAACTTGGCCTGAATCTCTTTTCTCTTGCAAGTAGTGAAAATCTGCAGGAAGTGCAGGTGCAGAAAAGCAGGAAAAGCAAACTGACTGCAAGATGAAATTAACAATCTCTCTGCTGTCCCTGAACTGGAGAGATGCAACACTGCCCGATGTGATTAACCCAAGGCACTCCTTCGTGCCACTGTAGATAAACTTCACAGCCATGCCTCAGACTAAGGCATCTTAGCCACCTTGCTTTCTAATTATTTTCAGAATGCTGTTTCAGCCAGCTCAGAGAAAACACAAGTAAGAAGGCATTTCTCCAAGCAAAGAAGGCAGTCCATCTATTCCTTGCTTTATTCAGAGTCCCAGAATAGATTGCTCTGATCTGCTTTGTGCAAGAGGTCAGATGACTCCTTGAAGATGCCTTAGAACATAAAAATTTCCCTCTCTCCCCTGGCTGTTAAACTCAGATCCTGGCCTGTTCTCAGGCCAACATTACTCCACCAGGTTCACCAGCCTTACCCAGCACTTTAGCACTCTTGGGAGGAGGAAGGTCCAAGCACCTTCACTGCCAGCCCAGGCTCTTCCTTTCATGGTATGGGTGAACCATGGCATACTACATCCCAGATCAGGAAGGTTATTATGAGCTCAGTTTTGCACATGCACAATGAGAACACTTTTACCTTGAGGTAAAACCAGATGCACAATGCAGATAGTAAGCAGTGAGGTTTGGGGATATTCACACCCAGCAGCAATCTCAAAAGACAGTCACACTGCACAACTGAAGCAAGCACAGAGGTGACATTAGGTGCAACCATACAGATCTCTGACTTATGAAGAGCACTGATTCCCTGGGCCATCAGATCCAAGGAATAAAATTTCAGCAGTAATTATGAGAAAGGACACCACTCCCCAGAGAAGTAGATTTACCTACTGTCCTATGTGAACTCCAAAGCTACAGCTTGAGACCACCTCTCCCTGTTATACCCCCTGTCACTACTGGAAAGAGTTTGATTTCATCATCTATTTGGCACATAAGGTATGGACATGTAAACCAGGTCTGTGACCACCAGAAAATCCCACAGAACACCACCATGCCTTCATGCAACACTGCACGTGTAGCTAAACAATGCTGCACTGCACATCATGAGGCTTACTATGCACTTGGGGATCTCCATGCACCCCCTCTGTCATTACAATTTGAAATAGGAGCTGCTATACTTACGTCATTATCTGGGTCTCTATGCCAGGGTCTACAAGTGATCCATCCACAAAAAGTGGTGTTGATGTGAAACTGTATTTACTCCAGGATCTTCCCTCATCAAAACTCATCCTGGGATAGAAGCAGACAACATTTATACACATAAAAACACTTACTCTAGAGCAACTGCATCAATTGAATATTGGCTAAGATCTGCAAGCCCCAGCAGCTAGATTTATAGACAAGCACCAATCTTTGCCATTTCCCAGCCCACTAAATTCATGCTCTTAAAGTACTTTGAAAGATCAAAGCATTAGAAAGCATAAACACTGGCAATAAGGACATGGATATACTTGATGCAGCTGTACATCAGACCTCAAGGGATCAAGAGGCATTGCCAAGACCTGTTTCTGGATCTGGAATAGCACCTGGCATGAAGCAACACTCAGAGCATAAGCAGCCCTGGCCTGAATGCATGAAAATTGCTATCGCTGCCACAGGACATTTTGACCCATCCATGGATCAGTGCCACATGGCATTAGCTACCAGCTCTCTAGCCCTATTAATACTTCTTTTCATGCCCTTTCAGAATTGGTCTCTATTTTACAGAGAGGTGGCCTCAGTCCATCCATGTCCCCACTGAGCTGCCCAGTGTCCAGGGCTGGGGCTGCCCCTGGCTGCTGGGCTCCTGGCTGGGCTGATGGGATGGGGCCTGGCTGCCAGATCCTGTCCTGCTTCCCCAGGGACCTCGGTGGGCTCCTGGCTTTGCAGCCCTCTGAGAGCTGCCAGCCCTCACTTTCCCCTGACAGCCTGTGACCACAGCAGTGCAGGAAACAGCCAGAGGAGGGTGTACACACCCAACTGCTACTGCAGCAGGAAAGACAGGCATCCTGTCAGCACCCAGCTCCCAGACCTGCTGACCATGGACACTTCTGAAAGCAACCAAGGTGTTCTCTGCTCCCAGACTCTCCACACAATTGTTCCTGCACAATTTCTGCCCAGAATTTCAGCTCCAAATTATATAAGCAAAGTAAAAACAAACAGAGAAGCACAAAGGCTTATTGGCTATAATATTATTTGATCCTTTCCAAGCACAGCTGTTACAGAGTTCTCTGTAATTCTGTGAGGTACCTGGGCTGTGAAGGCTGAGAGATTACTTTCAACGGACATTACCAAAGACATACAGCACAAATTTCTTCTTTGAATAGCAGCAAACACTTCTTATTTTAAAGTCAGCATAAAAGAAAATTTGCCCAAATTGGCAGGGGTGGGGCTGGGGATGCTGAATGCGTGCATTCACATGTGCATCTGCATCTGAATGCAAGGGAAAGTTAATGGGAACTGAATCCTTCCCACTCCGACACTACTTAGGACACTATCTGAAATGCCACCAAAGGATCAGGAGGCCACTGTAGTGTGTATTACAAACCAGGGGTTACACCAACCTCAGATCTCTGGTATGGAAAGCCAAGGCTGACAGTTCCCATTCCCTAACTCAGCTTCTCACATCATGGAGAAAGACACCTTCACCTGGCCTACAAGGCACATGTGCCAGAATAGGAAGTTGTCTTTAGACTAAAGACAGAAAGCTGGGAGTACAACAGCATACAAAAAGATTATCTGCCCTAAATCTATTTATTTAAATGTATGTATCTTCCCATACACCTGTGCATTTGTATGCGTTCTGCTTGCATGCTTATCTCTCTAAATAGCATTTCAATTTCTGGGGAACAGCATGCTTCATTAGCTTAGCTAAAGTTCTCTCAGCTTTTCAATTATCCACCCCTCTCTTCTCCAGGATGAAACTTATTGTACAATGTCTCAGCCTGAGAACTAATAGATTTACATGTACCCTTTAATCTATTCCACTCCTGCCCATAAAACAGGTGCCTACTGAGGCAATAGGAAGTAAATTCCAAAGCCCCTAAGGGTACAATTTTTAAGGAAACCTGTTGGAGCTTATTGATAACAGATCTAAATCACTACTTGTTTAATAGAGTGGGTGGGACACTCATAGTACTGCACATGCCATTGCATGAGACTTACTGTAAAGGCAGAACATCTGAAACAAAGCTCTGCAAAGCAAATAAAGGTGAACTGAGCTCTCAGCTCCTATGGAAGGTCAACCCGGGGCCAAGTCTTTCCCAATGTCTAAGTACAGGCACTTGTATGTAATGTGCTTTTTATGTCCAAAGAGCCTTCACAATTAAAGACACAATTAAAATAGTTACACCTGGCTTGAATAATACAGTAATAAATGGTTAATATATGATTTGCAGCTCTTTCAGTAAGTGGATCACCTTTCACTCTTCTGGAGCTCAGCTTTCCACAGTCTGATGTAACTACTGCTGGTGACATCTGCTCTTGGCTAATACACACTTCTCCTGCCTTGACTCATACATGGTTTAGTCTAAAGATTTTGACATGGTCCTGATGTCCTCTTTCCTGAGGGCACTTTAGTTATAGTCATGAGAACTGAGTTACCTTTCAGAGGCTTATGTTTCTAGTCACATGCCAACACCCTCCAACAACTGACTGGAGTTTGTAGCTCATCACTGAGTCTGCCCTGTTACTACTTTCCTTCATATGTCCAGTTATGGAGGTTGTTGACAAGAGAGTGCTGGCCTAGACTAACCCCTGGCCCTGACTCATTTACAGCCATGTATATTAAGTTATCACTGCAACAAGTTTGTTTGTGATAAAACAACCAACCCTTTTCCTGAACATTAGAAAGCAAGACAAAAATTGCAAGCCTCATTTTGCATATAATGAAGTCTTGTAATTCCACATGGAGGCACAAACCTCTTGAAGAACACTTGGTTCCCCTATCCTAGAAAAATAACAAAGCCTTCAGAATATGAGCCAATACATCCTGTGGTTAACAATCCACTACCACACCAACACTAAAGCAGTCATTTCTTTAGCTCAGATGGTAAAGAAATGTGCTCAAATGCAACATATTCAAACTTTTATAGAAATCTATGATGCAGTTATCCCAGAGTTATCTGTCAGGTCAGAAATATAAAGACCAGAATATTTTTATATTGAAAATATAGCCACTAATGTTCTTAAAGTACATCTCTGGAATGCTAGCTTTTGATGAGTAAAGACAGCTTGTCTTGAGGTGTCCAGCTTTAGAATGACTGCGATTTCACTGAAGGAGTTTGTACAATAATGGCTCAGGTAGAGGAGACCTTAGCTCCTCATCCCTGCTGCCAAACACCATTGCTTTCTTCTTCTATTTGACTGAAGACCACATTTCCTGTTCTGCCTGAAATGCGTGTGATGGACAAGTGCTTAGCACTATCAAGCTGAGAGGCAACTCAATACTGCAGTCAGGAACACAAATTTTGTCTCAGAAAGTTATTTCTATCTATTAGGAACACAAATCTTGCCTCTGAAAGCTATTTCTAACTAATTAATTTCTACAAAACATTAGAAACTGGGTAGGTCAGTCCATTAGAGTTGTATATTAGACGTGTTTTAGATATGCCCCTCTTTCAGTCAAGACCAGAGACTGAAGGTGATGCTAACACACCCATTTTCTGTTAACAGTGTTAGTTCTGAATTTCTGAATGCCTCTCTCCAATGTTTCACTAATGAAGAAGCCAGAGGGGCAAGAGCTAAGGAGAGGATAATTTTGGGTGGTATCTTTAGGGCTTAGAGTGTTATAACTCATTTATAGCAAAACAGTGTCTTCCGCTGAGAAATCTTTTTGCCCTATTTCACCTCCAATTCCATTCTGTTGCCAACAATGTATCTCTGGAAACTGATAGTTGAATACCAGAGAAAACAGAGATGTTTGGAACATATCTGTGTTGTCCTTATCTACACCTAGTGCCCTCTCCTCTCTCCCTTTATCTGTCTTACCAGCTAATGTTAAATTCTGTAAACAAAGAGCAGAAATGAGACACATCCTCTCAGAAAAACCTGATGCACAAAGGATGACAGTATGTATGTGCTGTAGGAAAGAAACCCCGCCTGGAGGCTCATAGTACATTAACAGTGCAAAGACTAATTCATATATGTATGTGATGATGTATAGACATATTATATTTATAAAACAGTACGATAATCATTGTATTAATCAACAAAACCAAATTGATGGTAATAATTACTTAATTTGCTCATTGTAGAGACTCTAGTAGATGTTGACCAGGTGATGCCATATCTGTCAGGTTATGTCCATCAGGAAACCTCAAAGTAAAGTTTTCTTACCACATGTGCCGAATGGGCACCGATGTGTGTTTCATGGCCACTAGTGCCCCTCCCCAGTCCAGAAACCATACATTGTATTCCTCCTCGAAGATCTGCAAACAAATTAGGTACTGCATGAGTGCTCCACTCCACTGGGAGGAGAAGAGTCAGAAGAACAGCAAAAGCCTCCATGCTTTCCTTTGCTCTGCAAAACATACCTGTCTCCAGGAATTGCCACCATCAGAAGAGATGAACACGCCAGCATCAGTGTAGGAAAGCTCAGAGCCAATATTGCCTGAAACACAAGTGTCAGACATTCTTGTATGGATGAACACAGAACTGCACGATATGAAAATAACTTGGCCTGACCACTGCTTTTTTGCTGTTCTTGATTCTATTCTCATCTAAAACCATCACCATGGTTAGGTGGCAACATTCATTTACAAGAGCTGTGACATTTCCAAATTGACACCGGGAGAAACCATATTATCAGCTTATCTTCCAAACAAATAACATTGCCCATAATTGCCAGGCACTGAAGCCAGGCTTACTGTAGGCAAGGACCTACATACCCAAAAATCTGTGTATGAAACCCCATGCCTATTTCATACAAATCACCAGAAAGGCAGCAGAACAAATAGTGGCCACTGTCCCCGGCTACCAGATATTTCACTCCATACACATTTTTCTCTGAACTTCCAGTCTTTGTGCTCTGGCTGGTGAATTGCATCTCTGTGATCTGCCAGTCTTCATCAAGGGCAAGGTAATTACCTCTCTGTCTCTGCTTTTGTGTAGAGGAGAGCACCCAAGGGGAAGTTCCTCATACAGCTGAGTTTAAAGGTGAAACCCAGACCCCACTGAAGCCTACGATTATGGGGCTAGAAAGTCTACTCAAGATTCTGTCAAAATGCTCAAACACATAACTGATCTCAGAACATGCAGTCAAATAAACAAAGTTTCTTACTTAGTCTATGAATGGTTTGCAATTGATGAAAACTATGGCATAATGAAGTGTAAGTTCCACTTGAAGAAAATCTTGTTTAAGTATGAACCATACCCAGGGGCAGAAATGGTTCAGAGAATTAAGTTGGGTCACATGACTTTGTAGCACAGACGTAGAGACCAGGTTGAACAGCATTCTAGACAACACTGACTGTTCTCATTGACCTAAACCAAATTGTGAGTTTAAACTTACCAGTTACTTGATACAGTTCTCAATATTAATCTAGTATTTTCCATTATTATGGAAACCATTTTGCTGGCAGCCTTACAGGGTGAACTACTCTGCCTCACCATACATTTGGGAACAGATATCCCATACTGAACACACAGGCTCACTGAACAATGCAGGTCTGCTCTAAATTTTTTTCTTGCTTCCCTACTTTCCAAAGCACCCAGTGGTTCAGGGAAAAGGTACCAGTCACTCAGGGACTATTTTGTTGTTTTTTGATTTTGTTTTTTTTCTGCTGGACCGTCAGCAGTACCTTCAGTCAGTCCTAGGTGGGATTCTGGTGGTATGAACATCTGCTCCAGAGGAAGCAGGCAGCTGTAACACTGACAGATGCTCCATCAGAAAGCCTCCCAATTATAAAGGACCACTTCCACCATATTGTGATCAAACACATGTCTTCTTTATTCAAAGCCCTTTACTCAATGAGCCACTCTCATAACTTCCAAATTAGACTGTTTTTAAAGCAGATGTAAGTTCCACAGAATGAAGGAAGAACTAATATTTTTTCTCCAAAAATAGCAAAGGGAGATGTGGCATTCCTGACACTTCTGTAACATCAACAAGAGTATAATAAAAACACACTAGTGAAAATGTTAATTAAATTTATGGCATTTCATGCTGGAAAATGAGAAATTAAAACCCATCTGTGGGTTGATGGTCTTCTTTCATCATCATCATGGAATCCAACTAGCCACAGTGTTGTGCCAGTGCTGTTTCAGAAAGTTTCTGACTCCGGGAGGCAGCACAACTCAAAAATCAGTGCTCAGGATGTAGGAAATGTCACATTGTCCATCTACCTAATTTTATTCCTTGACACCAGCAAGAGTGACCAACTGCTTTAGATGAGGTTACAAGGAAAACCTGATGTGGGCAACCATATAGAAGGTCATTTTATAGGGACATCCAGGTTCATGAGAATAAATTGTGTTAGTTTCAAAGTCTTTTTTGCCCAGTATCTTATCATGAGTTGGAGTCCTCAAGAATTAGAAACTGATTTAAAGTGCAGAAGTGTAAGTTTTGTATAATCATATTTTAAATACTGAAATAGAAACCCCAATTTTCAAACAGCAATTTTCAGACTGGAGGAAGAAAAGGGAGTAAAACCCCAAGATTTTGTTGCTATCACTTCTTTCTGTCTTTCTGTTCAAACCTGTTCCAATATTTTCTTCATTCTCTCCATCTAGTTTCTTTCAGCCTACATGGATTCAACCCCCACAAAACATAACTAACTCTCAAGCAAGTCAAGAGGATTTAACAGCTGTACAATTAGATACTAAAACATAATTCTTTCATTTGCAAGAATCTAACCTCTGTCCTATACCAAGAGCCTAAATCTCCAGTCATTGCTGGAAATGTGCCACTGTAAATCAAGACACAGAGGCTTTGAGCAGCCAACGCCCATGAGAATAAATTGCAAAGCTTATCCTTGAACACATTCACCAATTTGGTGAGACGTTCCTATTGGGAAACTGGCTAGTGGAAACAGATATGCATATTCCCTATAGGTTAAGCTTTTTAATGTACAAAGCAGTAAGGCAGAAATTGTATTCTGCCTCTTAAAGATTAATTGTTAGACTTGGAAAACATTCATCCCATGCACTGGCAGCTTGAAAAGAACCAATTTACCAACAATTTAGATTAATACCTAGAATCTCACTGTCCTGTTGTCTCTATTTTCTTCCTAAAAGGTTAAAAAAAAAAGCCTCTGCAATTACAGCATCATGAGTAGGGCTTGTTCCTAAGCATCCATCTAGCAAGTGCAACCTGCCAGGAGTGATGACTCCACTTGGCTAAGCATAGGGAAATCTGGAGGTTTAAACCAAATTATCTCACTCCATTTGGCCTGGATCAGTGAACTGGAAATCACATGGTGTCTCCCTTGTTGAGATATAAATGTCATGAAGGGAACCTGTCTCTCAGGTTCTCTCTTAGTCTGGCAGACACATGGAAGCACAGAAGGACAAGAGAATGAAAATGGTTGGAAGAAATAGTGTAAATTCATACAGGCAATATGCTAACATGACACACTTGCAAGCCACTGCTAGGCTGAATAGGACAAAGGAGATAAACTGAGCCTTAGAAAGAACAGTTAAGCTATTTGGACATATTTGAGCATATGTAGGATCCTCTCTTTGAAAAGACAGAATAGCCTACATGATTCAGAGGCCAGCTTTCAGTAGCACCAGCCATTCAGAAAGCACTTTTTTGGCCCAGTAGCTCTCACAGAGCTGCAGCCATCCTGAGTGTGGCTGGTAGCCCCATCCATACTGATTAGGCTACATGCCAGTGAGCAAACAGGACCTGGGATGGTTGTCAGGTTAATTACAGTGGGTCAGCCATTGCCACCATGAAGCACTGTAACAGGTTGCCATTAAAACATCATGACCTGCCAAAGCACAGTTTTGCAGAACAACCCACAATAACAGTGGCCCATGCAGTGCTGATGAAGTGCTGCTGGTCTTGGAGCAACACAGGGTTTAAAGTAGGTACCATGCACAAGGAAGATACACATGAAGCCCAGGCTTCACCTGACAGACTTTGTGACAACTCTGTGCTTGCTGCTCAAAAGGTGGAATGTGTTGATACCTCCTAGGAGTGTAGCCCTAGGCACTATTCCCATTCCTGGCAACTCCAGCAAACAGGTAGGCACATACATCAGTGGTTGTAATGTTAAGTGAGAGGACTAAGTAATGCCAGTTGGTAATGGTCCCCTGAAGGTGTGGGCTTAGACCTGCATATGGGTTATTGTAGAGCGAGCAACAAACACCTGACAGGCATTGCCTTTTTTGAACTTGTGGCCATATGACTTCTTCTAGCCCATAACAAATGGGAGATAAAGTGAATTAGCTCAGAACTTGCTAAAACAGAGCTGAAAGCTTTTGCACCAACAGGGAACATCTCATATACTCTCAAGCTCCCAGTGAGGTATGAGTGAGTGGTGAAAAGCACTTCTGCTCTTACCTGTGGCCACCAGCAGCCCAGGAGCTGTTTCTTTGCTGGAAATGCTTCCTGATGTATATGGATTCTCTGAGAGCTGCAGACGCAAGTGCAATGAGCAAAAGGGCTGTTGATAGAAAACAAACGAAAGTCAGAAGCTTTAATATGCAACAAGTTAAATGTCAGAGGAACCCTGGGTGACTACACACAGATGCTTCGATCCTTCTGAAAATGACCCCTCTGCTCTTAGCACTGTTAAAAATAGAAGCATATGTTCATTTGCAGGATAGACACCATAAAAGTAGATGAGAACAAGAGAATCAGGAACTCTGCACTACAAGCAAGCATGTCTGCACTAGTTTTTACCAACAGCCTGATCAAGAGCACTTTTCCCCCAAACTTTCTTATTTTGACTTGAGTTCCATTAAAAACGTCAAGGAAGATGGTCAGAATTTTTACTTAAAAGTTATGAAGCTATAGATAAAGAAATCTATTTAATTCATTAGCACCTAGCAAATCAAGAGAGTTTTGTTAATTTAGTGACTTAAATAAGCAGCTCTGCAAAAAGTCAGTTGTGCTCAGAAAAAGATCTGCCACTCACCAGCTGGCAAAGTACAGGATCCCCTCTTAGATCAGTGTCCGGTGCCTGCAGCAAACGCCAATCTCTGCCCTTGTTGTAGGTAATGAAAGTCTTGATTTGGTCATCTATCTTCCTGTTAGCCAGGAATATGCCTTTGATCCCTGCTACCTAGGAAAAACGGAGTGAGATGAAAAAATACATCGGAAGAACAGGCTAAAAGCAATGTCCATCTGAGCACTCCCAGGAGTGGAAGGTCTCTGAAAAAGCTATGAAGCCATCTCAATCCAGCCTTAGAAGACTGTGAATGGCATTAAAATACATCTTGATGATGGCTGCAAACTGAAAGGCCTCATGTGGTCTCTCTCTCAGGAAGAAAAAGACAAGGATGCTCACAGAGCAAATCCCTGGGAAACAGCCCACTTTAGGATTTCCTTGAGTGCTTGCGGATGGGCTGATGATGGACTTGAAGGTACAGCATGTCACAGGTGAGCTCTGTGAGCTTCAGGATGGGGTCTGCCCCACTCCCTCCATAGACTGCCGACACATGGGAGACAGCAGATCACATCAGAAGCAACCTGGGATCTTTGCATGTAAAAGAAAAAAAAATCAACACAAAAGATGGAAATCCTGAATATGCGGAAACACCGATGTTTTGCAAACTTGAATTCTTCACTTTCCTTCCACTCCCAAATTCTGACAAAATCAACCCAGTTGTTTCAAATGTTTTGATTTTTGTCAGGAGAACCCAGTACAGCAAAATATGGTCCTGTCAAAACATTCCCAAGAAGATTTCATGTTGAGTCTGCTCTCAGTTGCAC